ACGCGAATATTTAAATACGAAGAGTATACGGGTCACACGTTAAGACATTAGGAAATCCCGTCTTTTAAATTGACGTCTTTATTGAAATATGTATATCAAAGTTCAAAGATTCCCTCGGTCACACACACAAATGTTTACGCAATGAGAATTTGTTGACGCTATATTACCGTGATCAATGGCAGATATCGCCGTATTGTGTTGATCACGATCCACGAGTTAATGAATAAGTATACGAACAGACGAACGACACGAAGTGTGTTTATTTCATATGCGTTCGATGTATCTTCAGCATATGGGCGAGAATGTATACGGACTCATTTCATTCATCCGAAACCGCGGCACGAGAAATTTGATTCAAAAACGGTTGAGTTCACCAAGTCGAGTCGAATTCCGTGGAATTCTCACAATCAGTATAAGAGCTACGTCATTATCCTTATCTGCATTCGATTCTCATCGGATCGGCGAGACCGGTCTAAAGTCCGGAGTGTCGCGCAGCGCACGATATCACATACATACACACACACACACACACACACGTACATACGCGCGTTCGACTTTGAATTTTTACAAATCGACAGACGCGCGTTTCTCGCTTCAGTTGAATTCGCGCGCAGTTTATCCGCGCGAGTCCGCGGATCGCCGACTGTCACCTCGAAGTTTCGAAGTTGCTCGCGTTCGACCAGAAAGATTGTTAGATTCTCTCGAGTCGATTTAATACCTTCCACCAGAGCTAGGCGAGCGCGATGCGATTTCGCGCCGTTCAACGCGACATTAAATCCCCTCGCGAATCCGGTTTGCCGTTATCTGGCGGCACCGCGCGGACAGGCATCGGGCAACTCACCTGGGTTCCTGTACGCGTAATACTTGAAGATACTCGTCCTCCGACCGGTCTCCGACTGTTCCATCTCCAGCGACGCGGTCGAGTCCTCGAGGGAATCGAACCCTTCAGGAGTGCCTCGCTCGCTCGCGGTCGCCGTATCCTCCGTATCCCCGTTCGCGTCCCCTGCCGCATTTCCGTTCGCCTCCTCCCGCTCCATGAATCACCGCGGATCCTCTTCTCTTTCGGCCGCCGCGGCGTGATAACGATAACTCCCCGCGGGTCTCGCTATATCCGATATTTTCTTCTTCTCTCGTAATTATTGCAACGAATCGATGATCGAACAACGTCCTTCTCTAGGATGACGTCGTTTCCTAGAATCGCGAGAAAACAAACGATTACTCGAACGTCACGCACCTAAGTAAGTGCGCCAGGCGTGCTCGTTCGCCGGAATGCGAGGAAATCGTCGGCGACCTGATCAGGGTACCTCCGCCGTCTCGCGGCCCCTCTCGCTTTTTTTCTCCCCCCCTTGCGTACTCCGTATACTCGGGCGACAGTCTCGTGTCGTGGTCACGGCCAGGTCCCGAATTAGCCGTACGCAGTCCGATCCCGAGAGTGTTTCCTCATACTTGTGCGGGGTCGGTCAACGTTCACGTTTTAAGCTACGCCCATCTGACCATGTGACACCAAAAAAAACCCCGTCAAAGGGTATTTTATCTCCGCAGGAAAGAAGCGACGTGCTTTAAAGTAGTTTAAAGATACATCTCGGCTCCGTGGCTTCGCTTGCGTAATATCGAATCGCCAATTAACGTTTAATTATACAGAAATTAATACGGCGGCAAAATTTTGTTCTCTTAAAACAATACGCGCGATTCGGTCTCAATCCACGTGCTTTTATTTAAAAAAATATATAATATACATTTACAGAATTTCCGACGATGTCGTTGTAAAACGCGATGTTATTATAAATATAAAAGAAATGGTGAAATTTTTTGCAAAAGAGATAGTCGATCCTCGCTTCCTCAGTTCATTTTTCTTTAGTGACACAAACAAGCAATACCGACCCGATTTTTTTTTTGTGGTTTTAAACCTGTACGCACGTGGTTTTCGAACTGAACGTGAGTACTGGAGACATATGATGCTGAACAGAGACATCGTATAAAGCGAAGAGAGAGGCCGCATATATGCGTTCGTAGTTTTTCCTGGGAAGCATCAGACTACCCGGGAGTAACAGCTACGGTCCGTCCTTATATACGAATTGCATCATACCCGAGTGCTAGCGAGAAACCCCACGACGACGAAGCCATCCTACCAGCTCTATTTCGACCCCCGAAATCCTCACGACCGACCCCAATAATGCATTCTAGACTGTAACCGTTGTACATGTCGATTATCGAAATGCAATTTAGAGACGTTTTAACATAATTTTCATAATTTTTCAGTTGAATAATCGCTGTGGAGTACAAGGCGATGACCGCCTAGCGGCCGAGACCCTAAACTAAAATGCATCGCGCAATGTGCATGCAACGGTGGCGTTGCATGCCCTTCGTGGCGCGCGGACGTTCAAAACTGCGCGCGCGATATAATTCAGGACCTTCGCTGCAATCAAGATCAGCGCCCCGACCCGACACAGAGATTAAGGGTTCAAGGGTAAAAAATTAACGAGTATCAAGAAACAAATAAAAACCGGATGCAAATTAAGCTGGGAATATTAAAACATTGCCTGCGTTCGTTTGTTCTCTTTAGGAGCTATTGGGAAAATAAAATCTATAATACACGTTATGCGGTATTTTATATATTTTATTTTCCCCAATAGCTCCCAATATGAATAAACGAACGCAGGCATTATCGCTTAACGCAGTCACCTTTATCTCTTAAGCGCGCGATATGTACGCAATCAAAATACGTAAGACGCAAGTCCTCTACAGGCCTGAAGTACCTACGCTTATCTACACACGGATTTTTAAATATTCATTCAAACGATACGATGTGGTAAGGAATGCCAAGGGCAAGGTGCAAAGATGCATTACTCTCCGATGAACCGACGAACTTTGAACTTTCGCGGGTCGATCGGCTAATTGAAACGCGACGACTCGCTGGAATTCAAAGTTTTAACACGTGGGGGAATCTCTTATCAGAGCAATTACTAGCTTTTTTTTTCAAGATTTGCATAGCGTTTATAAATCTCCGATCGAGCAATGGTATGACGATCGCTCCCAGCCGAGTCCGAGACAGATTCTGCAAAGTATACAAATTTTGTCGGCAAAAATACTACAGATTCGATACATTTGGCACGTACGATGCTGTTGGCAGAATACTGGCAGAAATGTAGTGAAGTTTCTTTTTCGCAACATATCTCTTGCAGCGATTCTAAAGATACTTATTAATATCGGATATTGTTAAATTAATTATCAATTTAATTACATGATCGCGTACTAAAAGCTTCACACTAAAAGAAAACACAGTCTCAAACTGGAGCTATTCCAGTTTCAAGCCCTGTGTTTCAAGACCGACAGTTCGGCGCGTAGTCGAAAATACATAAATTCACAGAAAAATATATTAGGCACAAAAAATCAAATCCGACCGTATATTGGTTTTTTATTTATTTGGATAGTTTATCAACAAAATATAATAGACTGATGGCAGAAATCATACAGACTTTGACATTATTTGATACACTTGCTACACAGTTTGACGCGAGTTGGCAGCGGAAACAGAACGGAATCTATCTGTTCGATAGATTCCGCTCGGATTTCTGCCGCCAATATATACTGTCAGGTTATGTCAGCTGGCTCTATCGGCAAAATATAAGATTAATGCGAACACAGTTGACCAATTTGCTAACAATTTCCGATCGAATTGGCTGCCAATCTGTTAGCATCCTGAAGATAATACTACTCATCAATATGAAAATTCTGCGAAAAATGCAAAAAAATGTTGCGTATCATTTATTTATCGACGTTTTTTTTTAAATAAAATAAGAATACGTAAATAAGTAAATAAAAACAAAATATCAATTCTAATAGTAGGTTCTGTGAAAAATACAAACGCATTTTCCAATGCAAAGAAGAGCTGATTAACATATTCACTTCATACTTATTTTTTCTCCGAGATTTTTCTTTTTTTTTTCAAATATTAGCGGGGATTATTCTCTTTCGCTAGAAACAGAATAAAAAAAAAGAGTAAATAAATCGATCGAACGTTAGTCAATTACATACTCACAGGCCCGTATTCACAGTCCGTTCCTATTTCAAGACCGTCTTAATTTAAAGTATGTGGCTCTAATATGGCTCTGTTCTGTGTTTGGTTTATAAAATCCAATTAACATATTGTAAGAAAATCAGCTGTCTCCCATCACTGCCCATCACAATCACGGTCGCTCGCGGTATCGGGAGAGGCATAACAGACTACCGTCTCGAAAAATCTCACAGAGGAGGTGCAGCAGGTGCCGTAAGGTGCGCCTGGTCCACGTGTCCACGTGGAATTACGAGGTTGCGTTATGTCATTGTGTCATTCTCCCGAGCGCGAGCGCGAGCGCGAGCGAGGTTCGCCGCGCCGGTGCGACCACGTGGAGGCTGAACTGGAGGCGCCTCCGAGCTCCGAGCGGAGCGACGAGCGACGAGGACGAGCGGAGAGGCACGAGAAAAAGCCGGGGAGCGGTGAGGGCGTGGGGAAGGGGATGCCGGGTGCCCGAGGGTCGGTTACTCACTGCTGCAGGTGCCGCGGTCGCGACCGGCGAGTCGGACGACCCGCGACCCGTCGACGCTCCACCGAGATCGCCCTCGCGACGAGAGCGATTGCACGGCCGGTCGATATCCCGACGAGCGCGCTCGCGCATACCTCGGGCGCGCGACGCTCGTCGCCCCGCGGAAAACGGCGATCAACGACGAGAAATTTGGCGCGGACACCGCGTACCACCACACGCGCGAGCGCGGAGCGATCAACGAGAACGCGACGACGAAAACAATCCGTGTCCGCCGATTGCCATGCCGTCCCTCGCCACCCTTTCGCCCTCCTCGCGGCCCGCCGTCGTCTGCTGCGCGCGGTTGCGCGCGCAGTCCTCCGCATGCTCGTTTGCACCTGCACTATCTGCACTCGGGCTCTACGCTCCTTCTCTCCCCCGACGGCGCCGACGCTTGACCGCGTGTCCGTCTCGTTTCGAGTGCAGGAAACAACTGAAGAAAATTAATAGGCGAACGAGCCTTGTGCGTCAATCGCAAATCGGTTCCGCGGGAATATTCAAATTTCAATGCGCGATGCGCGCTACGTTCGAACGCGATGCCTTTAAAAAGTACTTACTTTAGACAGGGTCTATAATTCGGGACAGAATTCTATTTATAATTTTATGTATTTTAAGATTGTAATATCCACAGTCTAAATCAGATTCGCCTTTAAAGCACTTGCTTTAGACGATCTATAATTCGAGATGAAATTCTATTTATAATTTTATATATTTTAAGATTGTAATGTTCACGTTGTAAGACGATTTAAATTAGATCTGAGAATAGAATTGAACTTATAACTTTATATGCCACGTATCTCAATATGTGTTTTATGCGTGATTTTATGTTTGCTTATTCTGATTTTCAAATGTTTTTTTTATTACATGGCATATAAAAGAATATAAATAGGATTTAAATTAAAAATCTCAAATTAAATTAAATTTAAAAAAATTAAATTAAAAGTTTTAATTTAGCATTTTCAAAAATTCTAATTAAAAAGAATTTTTTTAAATGTGTGTGAACGTGTGGTGTATGTGTGCGCGCGTGAATGTTAAACAAATTAAAAATGTTTTTAACTGTAATTTATTGATACAGAGCGTTAGGAAATAAATGGCGCGTGCCTGTGATGTCCTAGATATTAAAAATAAGAAACAAATTGTATATAATAAATATTTAAAGAATAACAGCACTATCTGTTTTCGACAAAGCTAGATATTTTGTATACAAATAACTATTTCTCGTTTCTCGAGCATGTTAATATGTTAAATTATTAAATAAATTAATAATCTCCAGCATTGTATAATCTATTCTATAACATTTCAATATTCAATAGTACTATCAATGCACTTCCATTTATTTAACAGACAATTCTTACAATATTTTTGAGTATATTTCTTCATGAAATAAGGGAGTGTGCCTATATGAGGTAAATGTATTATATATCACATAACACTACATTTAAAAAGTTTATATACTATTTAAATAAATTTTACATTTGGTAAGTTGAAATAAACTTTATACACAAAAATTGAGTGCACAATTTAAGCGTTTGACATCACAGTTTTTTTTACATCATACATATAGTTATAATTCTAAGATACTATAAATATCAAATTTTTGATAAATGTAATATTCAAAGAAACACAAAATAATGTATCTCCTTCGAATACTATCTTTTGCTAAAATTCTAATTCTATAAACGTATTACATTTTCATGTTGTAAATAAAATAATCCCTGACTATGAATTTTTTTGACAATTTACGAAATAATTTACAGTTTTAATTTTTTAATCTAGATGAGAGTTATTCAGTCCGATTTTCGTATGTTTTGTTGACAAATGTCCTGGAAGTAAAGTAAATATTGTAATATCGATGCATATCGCATAATTCTGCACATCCCAATATAAAAATTTCATAACAAAAAAATAAACTATGGTACTCGTTTTAGAAATAGGTATGTTAACAACTTACTGAATTATATCAGGTAATCCCTTGTATCTACAGATGTACTTGTGTCCAAGTCCATGGGATGAACCAATTCTTATCATTTGGATACGATTTGTATTATTTCCAAAACTATCTATTGCCGCTTGATAAAGCTGAAATACAAAGCCACTTGTAAATATTAATTCCTTACTAAGCATCTATACAGTTATCTAAAAGTCTATAAATAAAATATTGTCGACATACCTTTTCTGCCAAAAAAATTGGAATCACACCATCATCTTCAGCATGTAATATCATAATAGGACAGTCAATCTTAGTAATATGCTTATCAGACTCAAATCGCAGATTATTATTAAAAAATGGTTGAACAACCATCCAATGGAACCATGGTAAGTGCTTGAATATCTGCATAAAAACGCGTGAAAAATGGATATGTTTATTCGAAGCAGTATGATTTATATCTGACAAGATAATCAAAATATACCTGTGCAAATGGATGTTCCGTTAGTTCATCTTGAATGTTATTGAACGGTGCTTCCAAAAACAATCCTGCTGGTTGTATATTTTCAGCTGCTAACAGAGCTAATACATGCGTAGAAACTCTAATGACAAATAAAAAGTTACACGATATTATAATAAGCTACTCTTCAATTTGTATTAAAAAAAAATAATTTAAACGCAATTTACCCGGTTCCTAAAGAATGACCCCATACAAAAACTGGAACTGAGCCATTAACTTTTTTCATCACCCACTCGAAAACATATTTACTATCCGTGACTACACCTTCCTCGGAAAGCTCAACTGCATCACTATCGCCATAGCCTAAATTGATAAAAGATGACCACGAATAAAACTTCCTTTTAAATAAAATACGTAAACAGTATTTTTACACGAATTTTTCTAAAAGAAAATGCAAGTTCTTGATACTCACTTCTGTAATCGAAACATATAACATGATAATTTAGGTCTTGGAAAAGCTTATAAAGCTCGAGTCTATGCGAGCTTGCTCTATTACCACTATTTCCATGAAGATATAGGAACACAGGTTGCTTAGCCTTATTTAAAACTGCTTCATAAGCTTCATCTGTTACAGGAATGGACTTATTTAATAAAGATCGTGGTAATATCTGCCTGCAAATGAAGTACCATTTAATATAGAACGCACACTATTATATATTACAATATAACAATATAGAAGCAATACAGCTTCATAAAGTTACAAATTTTACACAAGTTTTATGCGATCACTCACCATGCACCAATCTTTACTTGCTGGTCGGTATATAAATAGAAATTTCTAGCGCCGTTCAGTCCAACCAATTCTGGATTGGAAAAGTCTAATTTAAGTGGCCAATGTACTAAAATAGATTAAAATTATATATTATTAAGACACAAGCTATAATTTCATCATATTTCAACAAATTTAGAGCATAAGAGTTAATTTCACTATTTTACATATTTCTTCGAAAATCAATTCATAAAAGCTTACAAGTTTTAACATTACTAATTTTTGTGAGCATCGTTTACTGCGTTTCATTTGTTACACACCAAATTAATTACTTACCAAAATTTAAAAAAAGTATCTTTTTTTGAAGGGTATATGAATAATGATAAATTACTGGCAGAAGCCCAAATATAATGAGGTATATCAGGATGGATAGCTTCATTGTCCAAGTTAAGCATCTGTAATGTAGCATTTACATATGTATACATATATGTGTATAAATAATTAATAATTTAACAAGGCTTTTGTCTATTATCTTCGGTGCAAATAGTCATGATATTGTAGTAAAAGTAACGAGATGTATAGTAAAAAGAAACTTCAAGATGTATACGTTGTCCTACAATCACCTGAAGTCCTTTAAGTTGCATATTCTTTGCCAACTACAAAACTAATTTTCCGTCAACAGAAAAATTAAGGTTCTGTATAATAAATGATAAATAAAACACTATGTTTTAAATAATTTAAAACAGATATTATCAGAATTTTAATTTGTAAAAGAATGTATTGCAAAAATAATATAATATAATATAATTCAAAATTATAGAATTATAATAAACAATTACTTCATAGAGAAAAGGTTGACTTCAGATTGATCGAAGGGCTATAAAAAAATTCATCGAAATCTTAAACATTTTATATGTAATTATCACAAAATTGTGTAACGTAACAATTGTTAATTTTGTGATGTCACTTAAGCAGTTTGCATTTGCAAAAAATAAAACAGAACAATGGCACTTAGAAGTTTAAGAAAACAATAACGAAACAGAGAACAACAACGACAAGAAATTGACAAAAAAATGACAGCTAGATGCAATAGCTGTCAAAAAATTAATACACGCACACGTAAGATAAAAGCGCCTATACACAAGCGCCTATACACATAAATATATATGTATATATATTTTTTAAGCACAAGAGATAAAACCTATTCAAATACAAAAAAGTAAAATCTTAAATAAATTTATTTTTAAATAGCAACAAATTATGTAGCAAAATAATACACCATTATTATGTTAATATTATACCTTTTTATGTTCATAGCAGTCACAGAATGTTACATTCTCTTATGCATATATAATTCATGAGATACACTTATGACACACAAACAATCTTATCTCTTGAAGTTTACGACATATAATAGTTCTGTGGAGTCTCTCTTAACTTATATAATTATTCGATGACATTACGCGCATAATATTATGTTTAGATAACGTGAAAAGTGAAAAGTAAGCAAGTTATGCTTTTTAAATTCTAAATACAAACACATCTCCTCTTATTTATATCTATCATATCTATCATTTATATACATAAAGTATTGTATTTTATTGTTTTGTCGGTTTTGCATCCTTCTTCACTCTGTTTTATTTATGCATAAATTTGTTTAAATATTGTATATTTAGAGCCGATTTTTCACAGTCTCCGATTAATTTGATCCTCCGATTAACTCACTCTGCATCTCTTTCTAACTGTCCCCCTTAGAAAGAGGCGAGTGAGTTTAATCGAAAAATCAAGTTAATCGGAGACTGTGAAATCGGCTCTTGGTAAAATTATTCATGTAAATCTGTATCAGCTCGTATAAAAATCGCATTCTACACAAATCACCGCCACCAATTGTAAAATACTCACAAATAACTATATTTCAATCAAGATTTTTTTCTTCATATTCCTTAACGCGAGTATTGCAAACAAAAATGCGTAATCATCCTCCCTCTTTGATGATCTATCGTAACTATATATCCCACTTCTAGCCCCGACTTATTCACAATAGCTGACAACAGAGACGTCTACAGAGATGTCTAAAGTCTCCTTCTTAGTTTTGAATCGGAAAGCGCACTTCTATTAAGATTGACATTCGTTTCTTAACATGGGAAAGTGATAAATTGTGATGAAACACAAGATTGATGTTTATAAAAATAAAACATGGACAATATCTTGATAAAATGTTTTTCTGTTCAATTCTGTTCAATCTTATAATATTATGTGCTGCAGTTAACTTATTGTGATTAATTCTTACATCATCCGTTCACTGTGATTGACAAGAATAACTGTGGTGTGTCGCAATAAGCTGACATGATTGCTGACTGAAGAGTCGAGTCGACGTAAACTTTATACAACAAAGAAATTAACATATTCGACTTTACATCGTCCCGTTTAAATAAGCTTGCAAGCTAACATTACGATGCACAGTTACGTCAACAAAAGGAATACAGAAATATGTTGACAGAGATACAATTATGGTAAAGCCACTTACATTCCCATGTACCAAATCTCAAGGATGACGATTGGTACTATCGCCGCTAATAGTAGGTACACCGACATCGTGACTGTTAGTGGTTTGATTGCAAGTCCTCTCTTCGAGCAAACTTAATGCCACAAACTTGTTACAAGAGACTGTTTTACCGTTATTGTCTTAAGCAAAACGTTTGGATGTAAGATGATAAATAATTACAAAAAGCTTCACAAATATAAATATGTATTGTGTATGTATAAACAATCTTTTTTCTTTCAATATTCCTGAGTACGAGTGAAAATTTTTACAATTCACATGCTACACTTCTGTCCGACAAGTGTACGACTATTATACATGTATTAAGCATCTCAGTTTAATTCAAAAATAATGTAATATATATTCCTTCAATAATATATATTTCACCTGGAAAGAAGAACAACAGACACTTATATATAAATCTTTAAAGATATATGTCTTTATTATCACTTTTCACTTGTATATCTGAAAAATCGTATAGATAAAACTGACAGGTACACCTATACTTGCAAACTTTAAAATAAAAAAACAAAATTACTTCTGGGCATGAATATCTTTCTTTCACACGATACATTTTTTTACATACTTTTAAAGCGTTAATGTTAGGCTTCTACAAGAACGATAATAACGGATTAGTATAGCGACTCTAGTTTTCCAGCAAAACTGTAAAAGTTACGCTATATATCCATCGATTAACAAACGTTCGATCGATCCGGGGGCGAGAAGGGGAGAATTAACTTCGTTCGGAGAAAGAGTGCCTGTGCATGCAGTTTTAATGAGCCGAGTATACCTTCTCACGAAACGTTTCTTCGGTAGCCAATATACCATTATTACGACGGATCGATATAGCGGCTTTTGTCCCGTTGAACGTTCGACAGGTGTCTGTAATTAACACTCGTATTGTTTACAGACGGCAATTGACAATTGCGAGCTGCGCGTGACGTTTGCGTCACGTCGCGACGAGATTGACTGTATTGAAGCACCGCGGATCGCGGATGCCCCGGACGTAAACCCGCGTCCCGTAGTCCCGTTTACGTGCCGGGCGAGGTATTTATTTTTAACCGCGCGCCTCCGTTACACCTGGTTTTGCACCTAATACTGACTAATAATACTTCGAGAACGCGGACACCGACTGACGTCGACGTCTCGGCTCGGCGACGGCGTCAATTCTCGAGGTTCGCCTAGGCCTAAAGTGAAAGTGACGTGATTGACGTGAAGTTGGTAGGAGGTTTGGAGGTTACCGGGGAGAGGTGGGGGTGGGGATAGAAAACAAACGGAGAACGCGCTCTCGCGGGCCTGTTGCACTTTTTTACACTCTGCCTCTCTCGCTCCCCCCGAAAAACCGCCTTTTCCGCTCCGTGGAGTCCGAAGCGTGTTAAAAACTGTTTGTTATTATATGCGTCTCGTTTCGAATGCGGAAGCATGCGGACGTGCAAAAACACGCGAGTGAAAAGAAAAGTGTTTTAGAAAGCGTAAAATAGCGTGATCTGTACATACGTTACGTAGAATAATGAACAATTAATTAAGACACTTTCCGTCATCGGGCGCAATGTTAAGTAATTACAAAATAACAGAATCGTAAAGCAATAATAAAATTATTATCTATAAAAAGATTAGTTTCGCGGTCGTTCGGTTAAATGAAATGAACAATTAACTTTGCTAATCTATCGTCCCGATGGCACTTTCTACACCCCGCGTGTTCCTCGGAGCGAGAAGGTTTTCCGGCGACTCCGACTCCGGCCTGAAGTTGGCCACTTTGGATCGAGTGCATCGTTCTTTGGGTGCTCGTGCACCGCGAGCGTTGTTTTTAGGTTAAGGTCGCCGCAGTCAGTCACCGAGCCCAGCCGAGCTTCCTGCAGATTGTTAAAAATTAATCTTTATTCGAGTCAATTCGATGCGGGACTCGCATCGTAAGGCGGGAAAAAGGAAACGAGAGTATATTATGCTCCGGCACGCATTTCTCAGCGAACGAACGCTTCGAGATTTACATAGATCGCTGCTAAATGTGACGAATCGCGTGACCTTGCAAACGCGATGATTCTACGTTAGGTTTGAACGATGAGGGTCGAATTACGGTCATGTCAACGCTCGTTGAGATTGACAGCTCGTACCCCGTCGACGATAACGCCTGCGTCGACCCCGATACGGTCGAGCGTATCAACTCGCCGGTGACGTACAACGATTTTTTCTCTCGGCATCTAATAGGTAACAAACCGTGCGTCATCGGTTTGCAAGCAACCGAGAACTGGCCGTGCAGGCGTGAATGGGTGTCGAATGGTGCGCCCAATTTCGAGGTGCTCCGCACGTTGTTCGGTATGTTTATTCGGTAAATTCGACGAATCGGAGGGGAGAGGGGGGACCGCTTGGTGCGAATTATTAATGTAATCTCTATTGCCCAGGACATTCCGTTGTCCCGGTTGCGGATTGTAACAGAAAGTTTTACAATTCGCAATTCAAGAATGACATGTCCATGGAGAGTTACTTGGAGTATTGGGTCGATTACAAGCGGAGCTGCTATGCCAAATCGATGCCGTTGTTGTACTTGAAAGATTGGCATTGCGTAAGGAGCTTCCCCGATGTCCCGATTTACGAAGTGCCTCAGTATTTTGTATCCGACTGGTTGAACGAATATTACATTGCTCATCCCGAACTAAATGACGATTACATGTTTGTGTACATGGGCCCGAAAGAGACCTGGTAAATACATTTTCAATGTTACAATTTTGCTCATGACTGCTGTAACTTATTCCCGTATCGATTATCGTTTGCTTTCCACGATTGATTTTAACTATTGCCATGATGTTCAGGACTCCGTTACACGCGGATGTTTTTACGTCGTATAGCTGGTCCGCAAATGTAGTTGGAAGAAAGAGATGGCTGTTCTTTCCTCCACACGAAGAAGACCACCTTCGTGATCTTTATGGGCAATTGGCGTACGATGCGGTTTCGGAGGAACTTAACGATCATACGAAATATAAAATGTACGATAGTAAAAAGTTGAAATGCTTCGATGTAACTCAAGAAGCAGGGGAGATTATATTTGTGCCATCTGGATGGCATCATCAAGTTTGGAATTTGGTAAATAGCTGTAGGAATTTTGCAGAAGAATTTAAATCACGCATTAGTGGAAAATTAAATTACGTGTTGTCTTGTGTAGGAAGATACAATTTCCATTAATCATAATTGGATCAATGGCTGTAATATCACCAATGTATGGTGTGCATTGAAAAAGGAATTGAGATCCGTCATGAAAGAAGTTGACGATTGCAAGGATATGAAGAATTGGAACGAACATTGCCAATTGATGCTAAAAACCTCTTATGGCATGGACTATAAACAGTTTCTCGAATTTATATCATTTATTGCTAAGAATCGTTTACATGCTATGATAAAAAAGGGTCAAGTCATAAGTTTCAATAAGTATCGTTTCGGACGTAATCACTGTTTGTTTGATTTGCGAACACTTAAAACCATATTGGAGGATATTATCACAGACGCGCAAGATCTGTCCGTATACAGTTTGATGTGTGAGAATGATGAAGCCCGTGTGTTATTGAAAAATATTACTTCGTTTCTCGAGTCTTCTTGTAACATTGAAAATGTAGTTCCTCCATCAACACAAAACCCAATAAACTGTTAACAAACGACATATTGTCAAGAAGCCAATTGTAAATTCTGTAAATATAGCATGTACTTTCATAGTAGACACCATGTCATTCATATATGTGTATCAAGTTTTATAAATTTCCCCCCTTAACTTCATTTAAATTTTCTCTTAAAAAGACAACATTTTGCGGAATCGCTTATTTTAAGGATTGCTTTTGTACAATAAGCACGTTATGTTAGATGCCGTCTCTCATAGCAGATACAAGTAAAATTTATAGATAATTAAATTTAAGATAATAATTAAAGGAGAAATTCTCAATTTTAAAAGAAATTGCAAATGTATCATACATACAGTATGATAAAAAGCAATAATAATCTTAGATTCTATAATGAATATGGCTATATTAAAAGCGCAGACATATGAGTGAAATTCATTTTTACTCTTAAAAAATAATTAAACATAGAAAACGTAATTTTTTTGTCTTTAGTTGAACATATACTACTCTCTAAATGTAAAGATTTACAAGAAAAATTTGTTACTTGTACTCTATTAAGCTAAAGTGCAACCTAATCGTGGATACATTGTTTTTGCTGCTTGCAAAACAATAATATCTCGCAAAACGTAACTTATATCTATCTTTAACGTATTGTCTTATTTACTTCCCAATTACGTAAGCATAAATATTCTAATTTCTAAGAATGGCTCTACATGCGTGTGCGCATGTGTGCGCCTATATGCATGTGTATGTATACACACTAGCGTACATGTGGTATTTTATAATAAAAATATACAAAATTTATAAGATACAAATATCACTTTTTTCAGTGAGGAGTGCTCGACATGTTGACAAACTGCTTAGATCACGAATTTTCAATAAAATGATTGAATAATGCACAAGTATACATTATTAAAAATTACATGTTCATAAAAATATATAATTCCTAATAATATATCGTTTATAAATGTGCATCTAGCCTCGTTTCATCTATCGTTCCGATATATGCTACACCTAATACAGATATGCATGTAAAAAAGAATTTATAGAAATTTTATTTATCTATAGCAGTACTCCAACTATTTCAATTAATTTTGTAAAATTCGTAGAACCTCTCGGAAAAAAAAGAAATAAGAAAACCATAGTTGCATTATGTACTCTTCTCTATATGTGTGATACGCCTGTACATATTTATAATAAAGACATCTCTTTCTCTCTCTCTCTCTCTCTCTCTCTCGTGGTTATCAGTTATAAACTGATACAAAATATTGCACCGGCAAAGAGCTATTTCAAACGAAATACGTAACTAGCTTTTTTCCCTACATATGCTCTTTGTTATTAAAGAAAAAGATTGTCATGGTTAAAAATATGGTGAACAATTTTATCGCAGTTTTTTTTATACAATTTTTTTTCCGGCCACAAATAAGCAGAGATAAGCGACACATACAACCTACATACCATACCACTTACATCCGCGCAAGTACATACATACAACATACACCTGTACATTTGTTATTCCTGTATACCTAATCTTCTGAAATTTACAATAGTATCAATTTTTATCTTGCATAGCAAGTATATATAATATTTAAAGCATCACACGTCACAAAGTCCAACGCATTGATCAACAACAATTAACCACTATTGCAAAGTTTAGACTTTCTGCAATGTGCGCTTGCTTTATTGATAAGTAAACTCTTTTTATATACCTTAGATGTACGGTTCTCAATATAATCCTTACATTAATTTTACCGTTTATCAAGGCTGAACAGAAGTGAGCAACAGGATTTTACTCCGCTGCCGATATAGAATCAAATAATGTTCATCAATCAATCATCAGTTATCAAGAATCAATTTCGTAGAAATTGATTCAAAATGTAACTGATATTCATGCCGTTAAGGGTATGAATATATTGTTGATTATAAAGTAACGTTTATATATATCGTTTCTATGTTATGACTGTTTAATTTCTCTGTGTATAATTACCTAACATTTCTTTCATTTTTTACACTTTATTCTTTCTATATTTTATATCTGCTAAAATATAAAATGAATTTCCTTAACAAGGAAGTTATATTACAAGAGATAAATCATATTTATCTCCAAGCTTAGGAAACTAATTTTCCTATTTTATATTTATACGTTGTCTCCTCTCACACGAAGATCGTTCAACTATATTATATCACTCAATTATATAGGATGACTTGGTAGCGGTTGTACAGATGGCACCGTCGGTGTAGCTGGTGTTGTCGGTACAGGTACTGGCGTTGACGGTATCGGTTGATGCGTTTGTCGCGGCGGGGAAAGAAGCTCTTGCCTATCCCTTTCTCGTTCCCGACCCGGTCGCCACGCTTCCAATAAAGCTTCGACTCGCTCTTCTGTAGGTCCCCATCGCGCAGCGCCAGCCGGATTTTGTAACCATACAACTAGCGTGCCGTGGACTGCTCGGATGTTTACTTCACCTCTGGAATGTAGAAGAGAAAAATATATATTCAACATTTCTTTCATATACATATGTCATATATGATATCACATGTATGCCAAGTCTAATCAAGATCTGTATAAACGTACTTTGGAAGAATATGTTGGAATCCGTGTCTGTACTCGTGTTCCATAGCGGGTACTACTACTTGTTTGCGCTTAAAGTGACTGCCCTCAAGTTTTATGAGCGCATTAGGAGCCGGATCACGCCACTCCGGTAAAAATACCACGAACGACAAAGGCTCGGCCGAATCAGCCAAGAGACGCTCGAAGTGGTTGACCATAGCTTCCATAAGTTCTTCGCAGTAGGGTGGATTTGCTTGAAACGATCCGCTGACCGGCCTAAAGTCCAAGAATGGTCCCCTTGATCCAAAATAAGAGTCTGTATCGGCGAACGCTGAACAATACTGCCGAAAGTAACAGTTCAGAGGCGAGGCAAAACATTCGAACGTTACGCCGAATGACCGCTGAAGGCATTCAAAAACCGTCACTGGAAGAGCCATTTGAGTTGCTTGGCCCTCGTTGATCCCGAGGTACGTTTGATAGCGTTTCAGCATACACCAAACGCGTGACAGAAACATTTCGAACTTTTTGTCGTCGAAACCGTTATACCTATACAAATGTTCTAGTTTAGCAAAGTGCGTGTTATTAATATACATGGTGTCACCGTGAAAGCGCAGCATTATTTGCTCGCGCTCAGGGAGGTAATCAACCTGTGGAAGTCTCGGCGTGGGAAGGGAAAATTGCACTGGATAACACCAAACTTTTCTCTGCGTGCTAGCAGGGCCTCCTAACGGTATAACGTCCCCCAGACCATTGTCTTTGAGGATCTGGTTGTTTTTATCTTTCACTTTCTTCGCATATTCTGTCGACAGATGATAAATTTTCAGGCATATGCCTTCAACGCTAGCTTTAACGGTCGCTGTCAGATGCGGTTGACATTGTCGCTTCAGATGGGCGAGTCTGTCCTGGAAATCGTCGAACGTAGCGCCCACCGTTCTTCTCAACCACTGGAAGGTGTCTTCCGCGTTCCACTTGACCACCTTCCGACTCTCGGATGACGCCGCCCTTGATTCTACCATATTTTTTGCTGCTTCGGCGTAACGCGACAATTGCTTCCTCGCATCCCCCGTGAATTTCGGCCTTACCAATTTAATGGGAATATCGTTCATGATCTCGCGATACATGGACATTGAAATCTCGGGGAAGCATTGACTCGGTAGCAGCGGATCTGAGCCGCAATCGATAACCTTCCGTTCCATTAGCCACCTGTTGAAGGAATCTTTCGGCGCGTCTATAGATTCGCGAGTGTGACATAACTCTTGATAACACTGCCGTAGCTTTGATAGCAAAGCGCAGCGAAGAGCTTCTGCCTCAGGATGAACGTGCATCAAATTTGACGGTGCTCGTTCATATATTATAACATTTGTAGGTATCTCCAAATCCCATGGACCCCTGTAACAATAAACAAATTATTCGTTCAGTTTGCCGTATAAATATGTCTTAACATCCTAATAAAATCAAATACATACGCCAATACAAATTTCTTTGCAGGTGGAACAGCTCCATCCTCTGATGCTCTTCGTTTTAATGTAGCACCTGGTGTACTAGGTGGAATAGTTCCATTTCCAGGCGGAGGTGGTACGCCACAAATGCCAAGTGGGTCCGTGATTGGATCAAACTTTGATAGGATACATACATAATGTTACATTTTACCTCTTTATCACAAAATTTGGATACTTATTTGTGACATTTTGCAGTACCTGTGGTTTCAAGGAAGGTACTACCCACAAAGATTCTCCGGTCAATTTATTCCAGAAATATGGCCGATTTTCACGTTTACTCCAAAACTTCTTCCAGCCTTGTTGCTGGAGTTCTAGAGATAACTCGAGCTCTGGAAAGCTACCTGGTGGTGCACCCTGTAAAAAAGAGAAAAAGAAACAAGTCAGTCCTAATTTGATTAATGATTTTGATGAATTAATTTGACAAATTAGAATCATTAAAAATGTGTAAAAATTTGTTTTTTTTAGCATACCTGAGTTATAAGAGGTGGTTGTTGTATGTGACCAAGCTGCGGACAGTGATCAGCTACAGTTGGCGCAGGTGCTAATATAGGTGTTTGGAGCTTAACGGGCGTAGGAACTATAACTTGCGCTACTGATGAATTTGTATCCTGCTGTAGCGCTTGATGATGGTGATGCATGACTGGCAACGGAGACACCGACTGTCCCGATAAGGCTTCCCAACTCGAGGTATTGGGCACATCTTGTTTTCCTCCGCTTACTTCGTTCATGGTTTGATATGCACTGTGTTGCAAAATACTAAAAACATTAATCCAAATATATTGTTATGTGACAAGTATCTATCAAAAAATATGTATGTATTCTCTAATTATGATACCTTATATAAAGGCTATTATAATAAGGTCACTAAAATACATTATTTATAATTTTATCAAAGATATATGTAATTTAAAATTATCAGAGTCATGATGCAATCAGTTACAACATGATATTATAACTTAATGTAGCAAAAGTAACATATACTTTCAATCAAATTATATATAAATATGGCAACATATTTACAACGCAAAAGTTTACTATACTTTTATTGAAATAAAATGCATTTTTATATTCAGCTTACACATATTTTTTATCAATCAAATAATACTGTACAAGAGATACAAAGGAGACTTGCGAGAATTCAAAAGAAAACAGCCTGACGAGGTGGTGGTAAGGGTAAGGAATTGAGATGGTGCATCAGAGATGCTGGCACAGGGAGCACGCTGCGGTTTGCACAATTTGGTCCATCCACATCCCACGCGTGTTCGCGCACACAATGTGAAAAAAGAACACGGATAATTATACGCGACAACCGCGGGATTTCTCGGGACGTCGCGTTCGCGCGACTCGACAGGCTCGACAGCTCACTCGCGGTGCGTGTGGCACAATGTTTGTTTACATACTGAGAAAACGTCCGGGAGAAAAATACGCGGTTTCTCGCGTCGCCGGATCGGTCCCGGGCGCGCAAAGTGCACCGCGGTCGAGAGGAGGCTTACCAGAGCTGGCGATACCCTCAATTCATGAGAAATGCGCGACGGCACTTAGAATTCATTCATGATTTGTGAAATTTGACGCAACGATATCCACCCGTACGACGCCATTTGCTTAAACTGGAGAAACGGGGTATGCACGCAGCGAGGGGAGAGAACGTAAGGCCGCGTTCGCAACTAATCGGAATGCGCCCGCGTCGCTTCGGGAGACGCTCGAACGCGATTGGCGATTCCGGTCGTGTCGCCCATACGAAGAACACGTCGAGTTTAGGGAATAACGCGGTGGCCAATTAGCGTCCCGCATTTCCGACAGTCACGATTACGTAACGGCGGATGATTGGACGAGCGTCATCATCCGCCAATTATCTGCCGCGCGTCTCATCAAGGCCGTATAATTGCATCCCTGCCTCTCTAGGAAATTAATCTAGTTATTTTTCTGACGTTCGCAGACTGCGCGGTGCACGGTATATCAACATAAATCGATATTTTTGACCACTTTTGACGGTTTCGATGTGATCAACGAGCACGAGGTCCACGAGGTATTTGCAAAATGTAAAAGTTTATACCAAAGGAAAAGCGAAAGAGCAAAATATTTCGTACGAAAGAGAACTGAAAAAGTAATCTGGAGTGTAATGAAAATATAAGGAGAACGATTAATGATAAGATGGCAAGAGCAATTGTAACGTGCCAAAGTTATGAATTGAAGACGCTTAATCTATAGTTAGAAAAAAGGAAAAAAAAATTTATACTAAATTGTTGATGTTGATAAAGTGTTGTGCACGTTGAGTGCTTCGCGTTGTTCCTTTAAAATTCGCTTTTAAGGAGAATAATTTCGCGTGAAAATGACGGATCAGACATACTGTTGGAACACCGAAGTGGGTCACCAAGATGCAAAGTATTATCCGATTCCTCAAGTGTCCAATTTTCCTGACTACACTCAGCCTCCCAATTACAATTCTTCGTATTCCTACAACGTGCCTCCTCCCAATGTATCAGGTATTCCTCCTCTTAATATACCACCAAACATTCCTCCGCCCAATGTGTCAAATATCCTTCCTCCTAATGTATCGAATATCCATGCCGATGTTAATCTACCAAATTCAATGTACCATTTTACGCCTTCTACCTATCATAATGAAGCAGCCAATTTTCCCACCCATATTCCTTACCAGAATCGAATGAATTCACAGTACGGCGATCAGTATTACGGCGGAACGGATACTGCACACGAATATATGAATGATAATTATGCAAGCTGGAATGTGAAATCTGAAAATGTATATAATGACAATGCTGGTAACGATTGGCACTCCAATAACTTCTCTGCGAGCTGGACAACGTATCAAAGTACTCCTACTCCGTGCTACAATACAAGCGGGACAACATATAACAAAGAGAGATTATGTCCAACGCAGATGTATGAAACGTCGCCAAGACTGGAAGAGCCTAAGTGGAAATACGATAACAGGGAAATGCCCAAGCGTGCAATTAGCAGACCGAGATCTAGAAGTCCACGTAGTAAGCAAGAAAAAGTGTTCAGATCACAATATCAGAATCACAGAGACAGATATCATCAGCACAATAGAGGGACATCTAGTTCGAGAGACTCCACGTATGATAGTAGGCACTTTGAAAGATCTCCATCTAAAAAACATGGAAGTTGTACATCTCATTCAGAAGAGTCGTACGTAAGCAGTAAAAGCAGGAAAAGATCAAAGTCACGGGAGCCTACTTCAACTAGAGACGCTACGCCAACCAACAACAGTAAACGAACAAAGGGTCCTACCGAGAGAGAGATATTGTTAGAAAAATATAGGTAAGAGTTTTATAATTGCATTGGTCCTTGCATGTAACATTTATTTTTCAGAAAAAACGTGAAATTCATTGGTTACCATGTTGATTCTTGTTGCATACACGTACTATGTGCAAAAGTTATATGTGTGCTTACAAAATAAAATATTTAAGTAATTATAAAAATTCTTATTAGACGTAATTATTGTGCAACGAGTAAGGACATAAAGCGAAAACTAAATGAATTATCAGCAATGGGATCTAAAGGTATACTTGAAATTGAGAAAAAGATTTGGACACGCACATCGCCAGCGGATCTTTACTATGTCAGGGATGAAAATAATCCGAAAATAATGAAAAGTACTCCTAAGCTACAAGAATTGTGTACAACATTTAAGACAGCGTTGATAGACAGAGCTGCTGGAGCAAGGGAATTGCAGGTACATTTATTTTCCATAAGTTGTCTTATGTAAAGGAATTGCGTAAAATTATATTTTGTTATTTTTCTTAGCCACCTTATGAACCACCTCCAAGAAAAACAAGAGCGCGTCTTTGTCGTCATAAGTCTGAAGCTTGCAGTAGCTCTTCGTCCGATAGTGAAAATTCTATGGATGAAGATGATAGAACAATGGAAGAGTTAATGGCAAAGAAACAGCATCCACAAAGATTGCATCCTGAAATGTGGTTCAACGATCCTGGAGAAGTAATATCGAGAAATGTTTCATAAATCTATTTTTTTTTTTTACGTTAACTTTAACACTTTAAAAATGTATTGTAATTTTTTTAATTATAGATGAACGACGGTCCATTATGTAGATGTAGCGCGAAATCAAGACGCTCGGGTATAAGACACGGGATTTATGCTGGAGAAGGTGCAATAAACAAGTGTAATTTAAGTACGAATAATGCGGATAAATTATATCACTATAGGATAACGATCAGTCCGCCGACAAATTTTCTCACCAAGACACCGACGATTATCAAACACGACGAACATGAATTTATATTTGAAGGCTTCTCTATGCTTTCTCACTTTCCATTGGTCAAGTTACCTACGTGCAAAGTTATTAGATTTAATATTGAATACACAATTCTTTACATAGAAGAGAAATTGCCGGAAAATTTTACAATACAGGAGCTGGACTTCTTTCGTAAGCAGTTTTCTATACTTTATAACAAAACAAATTTTCTCACAATATTTATCCTAACGAAAATATTTTAAATTTTTACAGAAACGTATTTATTTAAAGAGATTTTGGAGCTTGTAGATTTTGATCTACACGCTGCACAGGATAAATCCGGCTGCGGACAGTTTCATTTTATGCCGAGATTTGTACGTGACTTGACTGACAACGGTCAAGAGGTCCTATCGATGAATGAAGTTCTGAATTATTTGATAAAGAGCAGTACTCTTTTAATAAATCCAAACGATCTATCTAGATTGGTGGTGATGCCACAATACAAATGGCAAGATTTTGCTGACGAGGTAAAGGGAATGGTCGTGACTTATCCAGGGAAAAAACCGTGCAGCGTTCGCGTTGATCAGCTGGATAGGAATCAAGAAGACCAATCCAATAAGGTATCGCTTGCTTATCCCGAGATAGTTCACTTCGGTATCCGTCCACCACAGCTTAGCTACGCAGGAAATGCAGAGTAAGTATCTTATACTTATCAATCAATAATATATCACATAATTGCACGATCTTAATATTTCGATTCCCGATCAGTTTAAAGAGTTATTATGTTTTTAATTATATGTAGTAACTTCATTTTACACAAATAATTATATTAATAATAACAAACGTAGAAATAAATTAGATTTTATGCCTAAAGTCGCAGAATTTTTCAGAAGTAATTGAATCTAATTAATGTATAAGAAACATGAAACCTCTCTTTAAATTTTTTGAAAGTTACATTTTTTGAACACACGCTGCTTGTGCTTTAAATACAGTTCCATGCATTTATAACATGCATTTTATAAATTTATCTAGTTACCAAAAAGCCTGGAGAGATTACGTGAAATTTCGACATCTACTCGCAAACATGTCGAAACCGTCCTTCGAAGATAAGAGAAAATTAGAGGCAAAGGAGAATAAATTGCAGGAGTTACGCACCCAGAGCAAAATGAAGCGAGACGTCACGGTCGACGTCAGCTCCGAAGGATTTTACAGAACCGGCATTATGTGCGATATCGTGCAGCACGCGATGTTGATACCGGTACTAGTCTGCCACTTGAGGTTCCACAAATCTCTGGACAATCTGGAACGCACATTGGGATACGAGTTTAAAAACAGGTACCTGCTCCAGCTGGCTCTCACGCATCCCAGCTACCGTGAGAATTTCGGCACAAATCCGGATCACGCACGAAACTCTCTGACGAATTGCGGCATAAGGCAGCCCGAGTACGGCGACCGCAGGATCCACTATATGAACACGCGTAAACGCGGTATCAACACGTTGATCAACATAATGTCCAGATTCGGCGCGAAAACGGAAACAGAGTCGTCAATAGCACACAATGAACGACTAGAATTTCTCGGCGACGCGGTCGTCGAGTTTCTCACCTCCATCCATCTCTTCCATATGTTTCCGGAATTGGAGGAGGGCGGTTTGGCTACTTACAGAGCGGCGATCGTGCAAAATCAGCATCTCGCCGTGTTGGCGAAAAAACTGAATCTGGAGGAATACATGCTCTATGCGCACGGTAGTGATCTCTGCCATGACTTGGAGCTGAGGCATGCAATGGCGAATTGCTTCGAAGCGTTGATGGGCTCGCTGTTTCTTGATGGAGGGATAGAAGTAGCTGATCGGGTCTTCGGGGAGACACTCTTCAAAGGTGAAGAAGATCTTGCCAAAGTTTGGGTGAATTATCCACGACATCCCCTTCAGGAACAGGAACCGACGGGAGATAGACAGTGGATTCCCAGCTTCGAACTGTTGCAGGTATTGCTCAGCTATTTTGAACAAACGTTTTCTCTCGACTGTGAAATGCTTCTTTTATCTTTTCTTATGTTGTATGTTACCAGAAATTGACCAAGTTCGAGGAATCAATTGGAATAGAATTCACTCATATCCGTCTTCTTGCTAGAGCGTTTACGGATCGTAGTATAGGGTATACTAATTTAACATTAGGATCTAATCAACGGCTAGAATTCCTAGGAGACACTGTGTTGCAGCTTATCGTTTCTGAATACTTGTATAAGTTCTTTCCGGAACATCATGAAGGACATTTATCGGTAAGCGATATTATTCATAGATCATTTTGATGATTATTTTTATTTCTATCACAATCGATTATTATATTTGTACACAGTTGTTACGGAGTTCCCTTGTAAATAATAAAACGCAAGCAGTTGTCTGTGACGATCTCGGTATGACTCAATATGCGCTTTACGGGAATCCGAAAGCCGAATTAAAGACAAAAGACAGAGCAGATTTATTAGAAGCTTTTCTTGGCGCACTTTATGTCGATAAGGGTTTAAAGTATTGTCACGTGTTTTGTGATGTATGCTTCTTCCCACGTTTGCAAGATTTTATCATGAATCAGGACTGGAATGATCCAAAGAGCAAACTACAACAGTGTTGCTTAACTTTAAGAACTATGGACGGTGGTGAACCAGATATTCCCGTGTACAAGTAAGTTTTTAATCTACAAAAACAATTTTAAAATTATAATAATAGTCGTCAAATCATTTTTGCAAATGTCTCAATTCTTGCTAGAGATGTATCACAAGGATTAAATGTTTGCAAAGATATTTCCATAATCTTATATAATTTACTTTTTCTTCAGAGTCATCGAGTGTAAAGGGCCAACTAATACAAGAGTTTATACAGTCGCTGTATATTTTCAAGGAAAACGACTGGCTACGGCTTCAGGACATAGTATCCAAGAAGCGGAAATGAACTCTGCCAAAGAAGCTTTAGAAAAATCACAAGGTATTACATGCATAAAAATGATAAAATAATTATACAAGATGATTAAAAAATCATTAATAGATATATCGTCATAGATATATCACAATATAGAATCTATCTTTTCTTAGCCAAAATTTGATTTTTTTTCTTATACAAATTTTTAATTCTTAAATATTTCAAATAGCTTGATAACTATATAAAGCTTCGTTAAAATCTTATTAAAATATATTTGATATGAACAAAGAATAAACTATTATTTATATTTAAAATTTAGAATAATCTTCCATTTTAATTAAAAAATTGTAATATCTTTAAATTTTTAATAAGGAAAATTTGTTTATTTTTGTAGATTTATTCCCACAACTCGATCACCAAAAACGTGTAATAGCAAAAAGTATGAAAATGCAGCAGTGGCCGAATAAACAGAAAGTAAAAGGAAAGTCTGAGAAAAGGCTCTATGACAGATCCGATGATTCTGACTGTAGCCAAAGTCGGAGAAGAAGTCGTAGTAGAGAACGTAATATCTCGAAAAAAAGAGAGACTTAATAGTTTTACTATTTTATTGTCAATGTAATAAATATATACAGATTTTTATTTTCTGCAAAGGGAAACACATAGAACATAAAAATATAAAAATAATTTTTGGTTAAACATTATTGGCGGAACAAACATTTATTTTCGTTATAAAAATAATATTTTTACATGTATATTCACATGCATATTTTCTAATGTTTGTATATCTTGTTCCATGACAAAATAATTTCGATTTCCATCGTGTTCAAATTCTCTTTCATAAATTCACTAGGTAATCAAATGATGATGTGAGAAACTGATGGTTAATGATATATTCATATTGTTGCAAGCAGAATGAAAGAAACATGCCTGTATTAATATGTGCATGTATGTTACTTAATACCATGGCAATTTAAATGATTTTTATTTTACTTTCATTCTACTAATGCACAGATTTAGATTATTTTCTCATGGAACGAGAAATTTGTTATATATGTATAAATCATTCCAGCTGTCTTCCTTTTTGCTAGCAATTTACATGGCCTACTTTTACTATGTACATTTGATTAAAATTTGAAAAAGATTTCAATTATTTACCTCGTTCTGTCAATATCGGATTGTCTTGATTCAATAAAGAACTGTCTTCATTAATTATAGCGTTACACTGTTCAATATTATTACAAATGTTTTGCAACTCCCAATGTTTTTTCAATAGAGCAAGATTTAGATGAAATAACCCATACCGGAAACACTGTATTTGAGTGCACGTAGCGACACTGTGGAGTTGAATTCCCAAGTCGTGAATCAAAGTTTTTAAATACATGTCGTTCTCGTTAATGCAAACAATTTCTGAAAAAATATGTTAAAAATTATTAATAATCAATATGGTAAAGTTATTAATCAATTTACAGTTTATATTTAATATATATTATAACATTTACCTAATGTGAATTCAGGAGATGTAAAGTCTATACATTTTATGTTGTATATCATTGGAATGTTTGTATCGACAGGTCTCACTGGACCTTGTACAGCTAACTCGTATGCAGCTTGACTCTGCATATTCACTCCACATAATCTAGGAAAGTCAATATAAATTAAATCTCACATAACTAATGAATAATATTATACACATATCTATCATATAACATACTCGAACATCTTTCTTTGATGAGCAGACTGCATGGAAGCGCATATTTTGTCTATTGCACTGCGCTTAATATATTTATATGTAGATTTTTCAACGATTTTCCCAGTTATAAAATAGGTGTCCGTTGCCTGCCCCAAGAGACCTTTAACTCGATAACTAGTCGGAGATTTAGAATCCTTCAATTTGTGAGCCCAGCTGGTACCATCGTTAATACCACAGACCATGAGACCCGACATATCTTTGCTCAGGTAATTAGCGCATATTAATTTGAAGTCTTTAGGTTGATATCGTGGACCTACGACTAGTGGATGATCCGCGTAGCTCGGATGTACAAGTACCTTCATCTTCCTAGTTGTATCACCTTCAATGCGCACATGTTTGATCGGTGGACGTACCCGCATACTGTTCAAATCTAAAAATTAGGAATTGGTTCTTGAGAAGGTCAGTTCAGGTTTCTTTTCAAAAGTAACAAGATTGTCTTAATTACACCCTTTACATAAATTTTTTGTCCCTTATTTGCTCCATATTTTTTTTACTTCAAATATAAAAAGAGTCAAGGATTAAGAGCTGCTTCTTTTAGCTGTTATTTTATATTAAAAATAAAACAATATATTTGTGATTGGGAGGGACGAAGAAACAAGAATTGAATTAAATAGAGCAAATGAGTATTATCTGTCACATCTATAAAATATCACAGTAGAATAAATTACAGGCATATCCTAACCTTCGCAGAGACGAAGAATTATGGTATCCCGTGCGTTTAAATACGTGACCATTGGCGGTTTGTAAACAGCAAATACTCCATTTAACGCTTTCCACGCTGTTTTAGCGTGGAAAACTACCTTTTCCACTTTCGGGGCCAGAGTATTCATCATTCTGCCAAAAGTCCGGTTGGGAAGCACCGCTTTCCGTTCACTCTCGCTGACAAAATCACGTTACTGACGATACGGGAATCGCGCAATTACAGCGGCTTCCTCGAATTTTCTAATAGACGTTAAAGCAGAGGATCAGTTTTACAATAAATGCTTAATAAAGAAAGGGTCAAGTTGTTATTGCCGCAGTCAGCTGTTTATTTATATATACATACACGTGCATATCTCCTCTCTCTCTCTCTAATATTTGCTCACGTGGTCGCGCAGCATGGGCGACGCAGAGCAAGAGGGGACGTGTGATGATCGCCGACAGGAAGAGGAAACCCGGAATAACGGAGATAATCGGCGCGGAACTCTGAAAGCGAAGCGATGATAAAAATACAATCAAGTCCTAGTATTTATCAGTATATTTTTTTATATACAGTATTCATTATCTAGAAGGATGATTTTCGTGATATTCTTTATTTTAGACTTCACATGTCGCACAAAAAAGAGAAACACGAAACGTCGCTTCCTCGCGGGGGTCGAACGGCTGGCCCCCGTGTCCGAGGTCAGCTATTTTCGGATCTGAATATCCTGTATCGAGTATCTAGATACTTAGATACTCATGCGTCTGCGACTCGAAAAACCGCGACAGCTCAGACAGCTGACGCGAAGGAATTAAATGGCAGGTCGACAATGATGTTCGAATCAACGACCGGAAATGCGGTCATGGGTCTTCTTTTCAGCCGACGCTCGTCCATCCCCGACCCAGCTGGCGATACGTGCCACGTCCATAAATATTCTCGGATCCGTGACGGCGCGGTGGCTGGTTATTATTTATAGTCGCGGGTAGCCATGTTCGCGAGGACCACCGACGGGCGACGATCGCCCTCCTCCCTTCCTCACCGCCGCTCGCCCGTGAGACGGGCGTTTCTTCTTGTCGTCTGCAAGTGCAATGTGGCCGATGTGTCGAGGCGAGCGCCCGCCCGGCCGAAAATGAACGAGGACCGTAGGTGTTCGTCGATCGAGTGGTGCTGAAACCGCCGGAAATCGATGCGCGCGATCCAGGACGCCGTTGGAGATTGTTGGAGATTCGCGGGAATGCGCTGGACCTGCTGACGAGAGTGACTGAGCGCCGAGCGCTGCCCCCGACCCCGGCCCCGCGAGAGTGTCGCGACAACAAAGGACGAAAGGACCTCATCCTCGTCCGTGCCGCGAGCGCGACAGTTGAATTAAAATCGGCGGAGACGAGAGTGGACGGGCGAGCTGGTCCCGCGCCGGACGACCCTCCGCTCGCCGAGGCATCGAAATTCGAGGTTATGCAGCGGAATCACGAGAGAATAAAGACGTCAAGGTAGTCCGATCTCATGCGCTAGTAGCTGCTTAATGTGAGCGAGAGAGAGATAGGAAGAGCGGAGAGGAGGGAGAAATCTCACGGATAACGCGCGAGGAGGCGGATTATGTTTCGATACGTAATTCGGCGAGCACCGAGAATGAGAAACTGAAGCCTTTCCGAAACCGAGGTCACCGTCCCCGTTTCCAGATCAGCTGATTCAGCGAAGCTACAAGAGTACAAGGTTCGACTGAGCTTGAATGAATGTTTGTTGAGTGCACGTGCACCCTTGCTTATTTGTTGAGAATAGCCGTCGAACGAAGCTCCGTTTTCGTGCCAAGATAATTTTGCGCGTGTTAAGGTAGCTGGTAGATAATTAAAATATCGCAGAGAGAATAGATAGGTAAGCTGACAAGCCCCCCTCTAAAATTGGAAGATGTCGGCGAACAATTCAACGTCGGTGAGTACGAGCAGGAGCGGCGGTAATCTTCAAAATCGAAATTCGCAAAGGTCTACCCTCCTGAAAGTGGTGATCCTTGGTGACGGCGGTGTCGGGAAATCCTGCCTTATGAACAGATTTGTGTCGAATCACTTCGACGAGCACAGTTTCCATACCATCGGGGTGGAGTTTCTGAATAAGGATATCGAGATCAACGGCGAGGCGTACACGCTGCAAATATGGGACACAGCTGGGCAGGAGAGGTTCAAGACTCTCAGGACGCCGTTTTACAGAGGCTCGGACATTTGCCTGCTCACTTACGCGGTAGACGATAGGACGAGTTTCAAAAATCTTGCGCTATGGCGATCTGAATTTCTTAAGTACGCGGACGTTCAGGAGGGCTCCACTTTTCCATTTATTGTTGTCGGCAATAAGGTAGGCTCATCAGGATTAACATGTGCAAGATTACTGTCAAGTAATCTTATATCGTGTGTGTTGTAAGACGCGTCCCTTTCCTTGCAGGTGGATGTTCCTGAATCCGAGAGACAAGTTTATACCGAAGAGGCTCAAGCTTGGTGTTCAGAGAACGGTAATCCTCCGCTAGTTGAAACTTCGGCGAAAGACGCCACTAATGTCGAGGCAGCTTTTGGGGCAGCGGTTGACGCATGGGCGCGACTCGAAGCTAGATTAGAGCGGCCTTTAGTGGAAGACACTGTCGATCTCTCTAAACAGCAGTCCCAGCATCGTACGAGCTGCTGCATGCCTATTTCCGGCACCGAGTAGGTTGTCACAGCTTGTAATTTTCACAATTTTCCTTTTACGTTGCGCGATGTAATAATGCATGATACATTTTTCTCAAGATCCACATTTGTGACCAGATAATTGAAACGGGTGGTAAGAAGATAGACGCTACGCACGGTCTTTATGTGATGCAAGCCGATATTTCTGGAATAATCGATTAAAAGTTTTCTTTATATTTGGAAGGGATATACACAACGTCGCACTATTGAGTTTATAGAAACGGTGCTTACTCTATTTAGGATCTATAAGGATACACTACATTACACAATACAACTGTAAGAGATTATTTTTCTTTGTTTGGCCTGTGTCTTATTTTTTTTTGCATATTTACAGTAAGATGCACAATTCTTTTATACTCCGTAGACAATCTGAATGGCTGCTCGCTACATAATAGAAAGTTTCGATTAACTATAATCTCTTTTCGCAATTTCTTTTCGGTTTCAGTTTCAGAGATAGACATTTTTACGAATTACATTTAAGATATCGGTTTCTTTACTCTTGGCATACTTTGTTTCTAGGTCTAACAAAGTAATTTGAAGAGAATCTCTTGCCTGTCTACAATACTCTCTTCATTATACGGTGAACTTTCTTTGTTGACATTGGAATTGCATCGGTTGTGTGTAAATGGAATATATTATATTTCAAATTTTTTTACTTAAGACCAGTTAAGATTTCCAAAGAATGTATGAACCGCATAGGATATCATTAGCAGTAAACGAGCGATTTATTTACCGACTGGTTTATATTCTCTTTATTATGAATTTTAACGAAATACTCGAGCCACCGAGTATATAAGACAAATAATATATTGTGATTGATCTTTCCAGAATACAACCTTAAGATATAATCATAAGATCAGATTAAACGTCCTTATTCTATCAACGCTTTGTGCAGCTCTTAAGCTACTGACAGTATTTTAAGTGTTTCATACACCATTGGCTTGTGATAAAATAATAATGATGATAATAATAAATAAGAATAAGAATAATTATGGATTAAGTTATTACATAAGAGATAGGCATAAATTGTAATTTTAGCTTTGTAATCTAAATGCCTTATTCTCGTGACATACATCTGAGAGCAGTAAAGCGACGCGACTTTTATTTAAGCGAGATCTTGCTATAAATACCCAGTATTTATATGCGAATTTGATGTTTGTACAAAATGCAGCATATACCTGCTCTTGGAACATTCTGCATTCAATGTCTAACGATTTTCCTTAATATTATGAAAGTGAAGCTTTTTGTACGATCGCTGATGCATATGATGTGTTCCTACAACCCCCGCGTATCTCATTCAAAATGGTACTTGATTCTTTAGAAATGCCTCATACAGAGTACAAAGAAAAAGTATGTAATGATTTCCCAATGACACGATTCGGATTAATTGCGTATGAGATGTGCATGCTGGTGCTTTTTATATATGGCTATATGTGGAATATATAAATTTATAATAATAGAATAATAATGGTTAAGATGTTAAGCGCATAAAACTGATCATATCAAGGTGATGACCACCTCATAATTATCGTGAATCCAGGCATTCGTACACCAAATCTCTATACGAAATCTATGAATTATTTTTAAAGGGATACACTGCTGCACATATATAAAAGTCTTATTTGTGAAAAGCGCGCGTATCGATTGTTATTTATTATTTTTACATATTTAGTAAACAGGGCCATTTCTCGTATGTACATGACCTATGTAAAAAATATATATATACATATATATGTGTGTATGCCTTAAGATTTTATAATTCTAGGAGTCGATTTTGCAAGAAAAAAATAAACTTACACTGTGCTTGTTTAAAAAACGTCATATTCTTGTAAATCGATTAATATATCCCTTTCTTCATAAAAAAATTTCCTCTATTACTACTTACGTCTGAGGTTTTATGAAAAAATTTAAATGTAAACTAAGAAATGAGTATAATAAGTAATAACAATAAAACAAGAGTTTATAACATGGGAATTAAAAAGAGAAAAGGAATTATAATTCTCATCTTTTTAAACTTTCTTCCTTTTTTTCGCATTTGAAGCTATATTTCATGATATTTAATATTTTACATGTAATTTACATGTTAACGTGATAATACGTTAACATGTAATAATACGTGAACGTATTGCAATGTTTTTACAATTATTTAAAATAGTGTAGCACACTCTTTCCCAAATATTGCATACCTGATATACAACGAATATTTTTATAAAAGAATAACAATAGAAACGGATAGTATAAATATAAAAATGGGAAAAAGTGTGTACATTGGACAGTATATTCTTATACGAATATCTTAATAATATTTACAATTTACCACTTTATACATGTCTAAGATTCAAGCTCCCAATGGTTCCTTATGGAGTTGTATTATTTCATGACACAGAAGCGAATCACCCTATAATCTTTTCAAGAAAATCTCCTTTATCTATGTGTAGAGTTTATAAATTGTAGAGTAATAAAATTATTTAGAATGTATGATAAAAAGTAACTTAAGGGTAATTGGCTTACCTTTTAAGATAAAAATCAGGAATTATATGTAAGATATTAACAGCTAAATTATGAAACTAGAATAAATAGTTTTCTCCTTTTTTGTTGCGTGTCCTGCTGTATTTATATATTCACTGTGTGTCATGAATTTAGAGAACATAGTTCCCTATACGTCCTTTCTTGAAACGCAGAAGACAATATCGCGGTTTTAATCTGCGTCTTCTCAGTTTTCGAATTTTCGCTAGAATGCAGTCGCGCGCGCACTTTCGCGCAAGTACGATTTGGGAAGAGTAAATTAGGGCAATTTACTAAATGCTAATGACAATGTTCCGTAACGTCTACGATCACTGACTTCTTCCAGCCGAATAGGAAGTAACCGACGGCGGCACCAAATACCACGGCGCAGCATAGCCAGACATTGTAAGTCATGAAGATTAGCATCAAAAAGTAAGACAGGACGATCTGTATGATGTGTAGAAACGTTTGAAACAAATGCATCCAGGACATCATAGTTGGCCTGCACAGATTAATACAGCTCGTTATGTCCAAATTCACTTAAATCATTTATTTGTAGCATACCACATAAAACCACATTAGTATCAAATACAAAGCGAAAAACGGATACTTTTCATGCAGTTTATTTATATTATTGTAATATCAAAATTATTATATTAAAATTATTAATTAATATAGATCATGTATTCATATATTGACATATATATTTGGTGAATCATATAATTTCCAATAATATATAACGGATAACAAACTTTTTTTCTAAATGACTCAATTTTATTAATAATAGATTAGGTACTTTTTTGTTATTTAACTAAAGAATAGGGTCATTTAGAATCAATTAAGGATTGAGTTGTTTAATAAATATTTATTACATGCACTAGAATTTATTTGTAATAAATTTAATATATGAATACGCACACACACATAGAACCTAGTTGTTAACCCTAGTTGTTAAAATAAAGGAATACATAACACCAAGCGTATAAAAATTATAATAAGGCAATTATGTTGAAAATATCTTCGACAAATAGTATTTTTTAATTATGCCTAAAAGAGCATAAGAGAATATATCACGCATGCATTTTAATAATATCAGAATTACTTAACGAAACACTGATAAACAATTGCTGCTATTTACAAGCTGGATCATGTTAATTAATAACGCTATCATTAATAGACAAAGCATAATTCTGAAAGAAAATCTCAGTGTTTCGTAAGATTTACTTACGGTTGTTTGTGAATTACTTCGCCAACCATACTAAAAAAGCGATTCAACGATTAGATTTACAATATAAGCTACGCATGTCATTTATATACTTGATCCTGCAAAAAATATTGCTTCTTGGTTTTTGGAACATATTCATTATAATACGCTCGTATGATGTCTATTAAATTAAAATATCAAAACCTCTACCACTCTTCGGAATTCCTTACAGATTATTGACATAATAAAATGATATCAATGAATAATCTTATGCGAGCAAAAACAACGAGAAGCAATGGTTTTCGCAGGATCACTCATCGGAAGAATTAGAGAGCTTACTGAACGACCCGGTTGTCCTCGGCCACTACATTCTTCTCACTGGGCACCGTGACGCTCCTGTATTGCAGGGCATTGTACGTCTTCCAGAACAGATACTCCCGGTAATATTTTAAGCCCTCGTAGAGCGCGGCCATGATAGCGATACCAATCATCGAGCCGATGAGACCGCCTATCGTCGCGATCTTCCAATTTTCGAACAGCACTAACTCACAGAATCCGGTGTGGAATGTCATCTGAAAATCACGTAGAGCAGATTGTGCGTTAACGGCGCCGTGTTTTGAACGACCGGATCATACGTACCGACATACCGTGCATGCTCATCCCGCTGCATGCATCGTCCGTCGAGGCCTCGACACCGTGGACCATGCTACCGTGGCCCATGCTGCCGTGGTCCATGCCTCCATGGTCCATGCTTCCGTGGTTCATACTCCCATGGTCCATACTGCCATGATTCATGCTTCCATGGTCCATACCATGATGAGCCATGTGCATACCATGGGGCGCGTTTTCCGTACTGTTCATATGGTGGTCGTGAGACACCTGGAATAAGGAAGGCTTCTTAATTCGGCGTTCCCTGAACTGTTGTACACATTCGAGAGACATGTATATTATAATAGTAATAATTTCTGTATCATCTTTCAGTATCATAGGGACGGAAGCACGACGGAGACTTCAAAAATTTCAAAATTAATCGCCTTTTTTAAAGATATATAAAAACTCGTTTGTTTTGTATGAGTTGATTTCTCATTCTGCATGTAGAACTCTATTTAAGTAATTATTTCATTCTCATATGTAGTATGATATCAGTGATTGATTCAGGTAAGAGAAAAAATATACGATTTATAAAAATTTTCCGAGATTTACACACGTTGTTACAGTTCTAACAAGATAACTAAAAAAGTACAGAATTTTTTTTCAAGAGTTTACACTAAAAGAATTGATTATTTCAATGATTCAAATAAAATTACATCGAAACGCACAAATTTTTGTTGAATTGCGATAAAGAAATCGATGTGCGATACGCGACTTGCGTGATGATACGCCTGAAATTGCGATATAACGACAGAATTTAATCCACGTACTCTGAGACGTGCGATTACGCGCGCGTGATTTAATATTGAAATATTATCACGCTTAAAGTGCAGGCGTTAAAGTTTTCTGTAATGCGATGCTAAAAGTATCTCGAATGGGTTGAAGTCGAAGACAACACAAAAGAGCTTAAGCAATCATTTGAAGAGCTGCAATTAATCGAAATTATAGCAGCTTAACAGTTACTTGAAATTATATCTCAAGGTCAGTATTACTATATTATTATTCCTTCAATGACTTACACAAATTTTGTTATGCATAATAAAGTACAAATAATAAGGAGAAAAACGATAAAAAATGTTTTTTCGAAGACCAATGATAGATTCGAATTGATTTAGTTATAAATATCTTTTATAAAATAAGTTTTTTTTCCTTAGCGTTTGAAATTCAATATCTTTACAGGTTTGCTTTTTATTTTTATACATCTGCAACATCCTGAATTGTCTATTATTATCCGGATAAGACAGCCGTTCTTCGATTAAAACTTCAAAGTAAAAATGAATACTTTGTTTATTCTCTTTGCTCCAAAAGAAATTATAAATTTGCACAATGCCTATACAACAAGAGGAATATAACAATGTAAGAAATAAAAAATTGTTCATGTTATTTTTTCGAACGTGCCTAATTTAAGCGATTAAATTCAAGCATGTTTTGCAAAAATGTGTCCATCGCATATCGCAAAACGTGTATTTATATACTGTTGAGATAAGACATTTCTCCACTTTACTACCGTTTATACTAAAGGAAAATTAATATATAGAGTTCGCAATCTTAATTCTTATTCTAAATCTTGTCTTAATGTGAGATAAAGCTCTCGAAGTTAACAACATAAGCTTATAAGAGAATGTAGATAGCAAAACCGTAGAAAGCAAAATCATATTTCATATTCAAATAGACTTTACTTGAATACATCGGATATTTTTTAAAAGAAACGCACCAATCTGCCATTAAATTAAAATTAACATTCGCGAGCTCTGGGGAGGCATATTAAAGACAGAATAAAAGTCTAAAATTTAGAAAAACCGAGCGAAGATAAATGTCATAACAAAAAATGTCGACGGACGTCAATAAAAGTCGATAGCATTGGCAATACAGCGAATTATGATGTTAAGTAAATAATAAATAAATAAATAAATAAAGATATATTAATAAATATTCGATAACATCGATAACAAGCGTATATAAGACACATATCTCGATGCTCCGGGATCTTATCGATCGACTCCGCACGATACGTGTTCAAAAGAATCACTGCAATGCTGTGTATTTATAAACAAACCAGTGACTGTGAGCTCGAATTACAACGATAAAGTGCGCCGATAAAGAATGAAAAATAAATGATAATCGAGAAAGACGATAAATCGCAAAAAAATTTTGAGCGAGTAATCTAATAATCTATAATTAATAGTAATCTAACAATAATTCGTAACGTCACCTGCATTTCCGCCGTCGTGAACACATTTATAAGGGTCAATGTTGCACGCGTGTAGCAACAAGATCGAGACTTCGTCCGAAGAACAGCCAAGTCGACGTTTGTGTCGCATTGTGCCCGTTTGTCGTGGAAAAAATAAGCAACAGATAAAGATACCTCGGTGAACGCGTTTAAATGCGCATTCACTGGACGCGTGTTACCCAGCTCGCACAAGCACTATTGTTCCAATTTTTTCAACGGAATGAAACACGGCGATGGAACGTACGAGGACTTGAATATCGACTTGCTATCGTTACGAGTGCTCTCCTCGTATCATTAATTTTTCCGCTGGCTATCTCATCCAGGTAGCGCCGCAGCTATCTCGGTCTAAGATTGCATAACACATGTCGGATGTATGTAGGACTGTAGGATCATGCTATCGATAGTTTTCGAGTAGTTAGGATTGCTCAACTCTCGCGGGACATCTCGCTAAACGTCTCGTAACGAAACCCGAGGGCTCAATTAAAAAGCGAAGCTGTAAACGAAGTAGCCGTTAAAAACAGAACGTCAAAAACAGAACGTTTCGGTTGATGAAAACGACTCATCATTACTTATCTAGCAGCGATTCAACCGCAGAAACCGCGATTAAAACCCATGATTACGAGGAACACTTGGGGGGAAAAAAAACACAGGATGTTCTGCCGATCCGGAAGACACAGCAGGAAAAAGTAACAACGATAAAGTCTTTGTGTTTCGGTAAAAATATGTTTGCGAACAAAGTCAGCAATTAGAATATGTTTCCGAACAAAGCGTGAGCAATTAGCATAGATATGTAGTACGTTTTAGGTTTGTATGTGTAATCTCAAGAGTATGCATTTTTTGGAATTCTCTGAATTTAAATTCGATTTCCCATTTGCAAGAATTTAAATTGACATAGTTACTTAAGGCGGTAATCGACTACGATATTCAGTCGTATACGAAATATTATATTTTAAAGACACCTTTTAATACAGACATTTTATCAACTTATTGTTAGAATCGAACTTTAAAAATGTAAAAAAAAAAATAATAATATTATTTTCAAGTTATACATGATAGAAAATAAAGATTTTCGAGAATGTAATTTTAAGAGTATAAAAAACTATAAAACGCGAGTTTTTATTTAATTTCAAACTATACTATTTTTTTTAATGGATTTATAATTTCGGAGTTAATTGCAGGGATATTTAATATTGAAAATTGGAAACTTGACGAATGACGACCTTCTCCGATGTTTTCGTTAAAATCGATTGCAAATTGTTCAAAGACGAATAAAAGAGAAAAATTTCCGACTGGAACTCAACTTTCAAACTTTGGCTAAAACTTATATAGTTAAAAGAAAAAATTTGGAGCTGAAATCGAAAATCGAATCTTTGAGCTTTATTGTTCTATAGTTATCGAATATGGAGATACTCGAGATAAAATTTTGTACGAGAATACCATTGGTGATTTCATGACAAAATGACGTCAATACGCGACCGACAATCTGTCGTGCTGCAGGGAATTTCTTATATCGAAATACCGGAAAATCCTGAAGGAAAATGGGCATTATAATATCGCCGGAAGCAAGGCAAGAATTCTAATCTTATCGATCAGTTAGCGCAAATTGTTCGCACGATGAGATCGTGACGTTCGAGTTAATGGACCGGATAAATTCTCGTGAGAGATCCAACTGTGAAAGTAATATGAAAGTACTAGAAGTTGCTGCGTCGCGGCAATGTGCGATAGAATCTCATTGCAATGAACTCAAATTTTTTAAATGAACTGATTACGTTTTCTTTGACTTAAATGTGAAGTTTCTTTCCTTTTTATAAGAAATCGACATAAAATATTTTTATAAATAAAATTCAGAGTTAAAGTTAATTCAAAATTAATAAAAAAGATATACTAAAAATTAGATAAAGAATATTTCTATAATGTATTAGTTGTTTACGTCTCTGAAACTCAATTAATGAAAAGCACCTCACCTTTAAACGTTTATAATTATTTAAAACGTAAAAATCATTGAGTATATACCTTAACGGGAAATATCAATCAGTCAAAGACCTTGCAGGTGAAAGGAAGTGCGGAGAACCCGACATATACTATATGTAAGAATTCTGTTGCTGAGAAGTTTCGTTACATTAAAATCGCACATAATATATCGTGCATGCAGGCATGCGTGTGAAGCTATATCAGGTCTCATTACAGCGAACATTTCTACGCGTGTTCCTTTAATGGCATCCATTCTGCTAAGAACAGTAAGAACTCAATTCTCAACATACGCGGTTTTGCAACTGCCGAGTACTTTTGTAATACACGTGGCTTATCTCCATTTAAATATATTATCTAAAAACTTAGCGTTTTGCAATCCCGATTTTCAAATAGTACAAAAATTACACGGCACGGAATAAAATAATATATAGAAATTGGAATCTAAGGGCAACGCGTCTCCAAACTTCTGACTGGAGCAGCAACAATGACTTTGAAAACTTTTTCGTTTTCAGATATTTCGTTGCTAGGACATTTTTTCTTTTATGACAGAAACTTGAGATCTGATCGTAAGTTCTCGTTTCCCAGGAAAAGCCAAAGCAGACTTTATTCGACTTTGCGAAAAATTCGTATAAGATCCTTAATATTATTCGAAGACGACCTAGGCGTGAACCCCCATAATCTCGAGGAAAAGAGTTTGAACATCGGTGGGATTAATTACGTAATATCGTGATGTAAGACGTGCGCGCGTATTTGAATAAAAAAACGCAACATGTGCTCGTTGAAATTGATCTTCGCGCTGTCTCGCCAATTCGCCATTCTGCATATCGTCAGATAATGTAAATTCTCCCGACCGAGGGTTGACGATATTGGCCACAATTGGATCAATGACGGTGAATCACGATCAATTAGCTTGTCGTCGTGGGGTGTGGAGCAGAGGCGGCAGATAAATATCCGTTACGGAATTTCGCGTTGCACGCGCGATTATCCGCGACCGACCCGGCGGCGGCGGCGGCGCGGCGACAGGTATCCGCTTTCACCGTCGCCGTGGTGAGCGAAAGGGAAACGCTCCCCGTATTCTCCACCTCCGCTCGCGCACGATTTAGGCGAAATGCGCTGTAACGACGAAAAATTAGAGCGAACGCCCCTGTTATAAGGTAACGTTCTCTTCTCCGTCAGCCGGAGCCGTCTCTCTGGCAGGATCGTAACATATGTTGCGCCGTGCGAAGCGACTTTACGTCTGCGATACGAGGAAATGCGGCGGCGGGGGAAAGACGTCGAGAGGAGAGAGAAAGAGACTCGACGGTGATGATCATAACGATGCATCCGCGTCGGGAAAACCTGTTTCACGGCCGACCGCTGCGATTGAGTAATTCGTGGAGGATTACTCGCTTCTTTCTGAATTGCGTTGCGGCTAGATAGAGAGAGAGTGTTCGGTTAAAGTTGTAGACTAATAGCCGACGCTCTAGGTGTACACGAGAATCCTCAGGATCGTAATTTAAGAATACGGAGAATTTTCACCGGAGAAATTTTTCTTTGAATTTTTCTTCAGCGTCCATGGATGTCTTCGGGATGTGAGAACTGGTCGAAAGCTTCGTTTGCCGAGCCGGAGTGGAAGGTTATCCGAAATCGCTTTACTTACGCGATACGCACACCCCTGATGAGAGTAGAGGCAAAGGCGCTCTCCCTGAAGCGCGTCGGTCAGAGGAAATAGGGGAAATAAGGACGCGCGACCGAGCGGAGACGGCCTGGTAATTCATCACTTCCCCTGCAAATTGATCAGCGGGGAAACTGACACTCGACGAAATAAACGGCACGCGAGAAATTTGTCTGAGGATACGCGATACGGTTTCGCGCAGCAAGGGTCGCGAGGAATCGTCGCTTACCACACATTATTTAAATCGCGAAGATAAGACCGCACGTCGCACGAGGGGGAAACGAGTCGCTAATACTTTTTATTTTTAACGGGAAAAATAGAAAGCGGAAAATACGCGGAGTTTTTCAAGGGATACATCTGGACCGTCGGAAAGTCTCGCTTACCTTTGCGGAGGTTATGTCACGGTGAACGACGATCACCGAAATCGGGTCGAGCGACGATGGCGGAATGAGGTGTAGACTCTTGTTAACGCGACTTCTCAGTCTCGTTCTTTCTCTTCGTACATACGTCGTCCGAGCACAATCAAACAATCACTCCCGACTCTCTCGAGTCCATTAGCGAACTGTGCGACTTTCACGTGAAGCTTGCCACCATCCGTCGCCGCGGAGCGCGGAGGCGCGGAGTGCCGCGGAGCAACGCGCGTACCAAGAGCTGCTTTCGATTTGTGAGTAACCGCACGAACACGTGAGACACGTACTGGCCGTGCGATGGCAGTCCGCTTGCGGCGGCGATATAATATACAGATATTATTTTATATGTTATTATGTATCAGAGAGAAGCCTGAAGAGAGAGGCCATCTCGATCTTTTTCGTGGGACCGTCGAAAGCGACGAAAGCCCCTGTACACTATCGTCAGTACATCCATTTTCGAAATTGGTACTACGTAGCCACGTTCATTTTCCGACACTGCCGATAAAACATTATTTTGGTGCGCGTCCGTGCTACATCTGCGAATGTAGAATATTGGAGAATCATAGCTGATTTCATTCATGAATCACGTGTCCCACGATGGATTTCGAATCGCAAGTAATTTCAAAACGCATAAATCATATTTCTATCGCCCCGCGATTAATGTCCAAAGGTGAATCTTGCACATGAAGAATTATCATGAATGTATCTCAAATACCGGAGGATGTTCATCGTAGCGCGTCAAATCATCGTGTTCGGAGTTATACGATTGCATCTGTGATTGCACGACTTTAATATCATAATTCATAATTATTCGTTTTTTCGCGGGTTCGGGATTTCGATAAGAGCGCAGAAAGTACGGAAAGTGCAAGACGCGTTTACCGCGAGCGCGCGGCGTGCTCGCGCATGCGCGCTAGGTTAGTCGCGTTTCGCGTTCGAATTCCGTAGCGCAGTCGAAAGTGTCGAAACCGGGAGCGGATCCACTGAAAGGTTTCTCGCCGCGATTCATTCGTCCTCGGATCTTGGATTTCGCTCGCGATGTCGATCAGACCGTTGTGGCCCGACTTGCGGCCGCGGGCGACCGACCCGCTGTGGTTCAACGCCGATAGACCCTGTGACGACGAGAGCGAGGTCGCCGCTCTCGAAGCCGAGCACCAGGCCTGGGTAAGTGCGTGAACGATCGAGCGCGGCTCTCGCCCGTAACGCGTCTTACATTTCCTCTGCGTTTATTCCAGCGGGATCATGTGCGGGTGCAGGGCTACGAGCACATTCCGATCGGCAAGACGGTGAGCGACGTAAGTTAACCTAACCTAAAACCTCATCGACCAGTATCCATCGCGCAACTGTATTATTTGGTTATTTGGCCGTTTCATGGTTATCGACGCGGTTAATTTCTCTCGATATTTCCTGTCAAAGATACGCGAGCTTATTTCTCGCCTCTCGACACGCAAGTGCATTTTGGCCATTCGGTAAAGGTGCGGCTTGATTGTCGGAGTCGATTGTTAAATTGGAGTCGATTGCCGATTGTCGGTTTAACGCAGGTGTCTCGTAATTTTTAAGCAGAATGATAAATAGAAGATAAATTGATATATATTATGTAGCGAGAGAGATTAGTGCTAAGATCTTCCTTTTTATTTAATTTTAAGCATTATACGATCACATAATTGGCATAATACAACATAATGTCATTTGTTTGGTAAGTAAGCAGCAAAAAAAAAAAATCAGAATACTTGAATAAATATATAAAATACGAATTGATTCCTAAATCTTGTTTGTGAATGTGATAATCAAGATCTTAAATTATCTTGCAAATTCTGGAAATTTGTAATATTATAGAAATAGCTTCTTAATATTTAATAAATAAAAATCCTGTATAGAGAGAGATAAGTGATTTCGAGATGCAAGTTTTGAATAAGTAAAAAATTAAATAGATAAAAAGATTAGGTATATTTAAAATTTTAAACGGTTCACAAATAGCAATATAAAAATCATATCCTGTCAAATGGCGCCATCATTTTTTTTTTGGGTTAGATCCCTCAGATGAGGGAAATTAAGTGCCTGCGCAATCATTCGTCTTTAAGGGGATCCTGCAGCCGTACGCTTTACCGACATTATCGTTTTTAGATGGATCTTTTAATTGGCTCTATAGAATTGCAAAAATCTTTCACAGAATTTTAGTCCGCACAAAAATCTAAGGTAACAAACACGATTTTATATCAAAAACACCAAAAAATTAAAAATATTACTTATTTGGGCACATACCGCTGTCACCTGATGATAATATTTATTTAAAACAAAAATTCTGCAGTTGATACATAATGTTTATCACTCTCCCTTGGGAAAACATGTAGGAATAATATCGTGCAAGTAGAAATAAGATTCAATGCGTACAAAAAAGATCCATCGAAAATCGAAAGTTTATTTTAGTAATGCTGGCAAATACGGATGCAGAATGACAAGAAGAGCAGCAACAGTAGTTGCCACTGCAGGATCCCCTTAATGTGGTTACTATATGTGCTCACTTTCTTTACCATCAGTCGGAAACTGGACACTGTCATCGTCATCGGTATGGTAGTCTACTAATTAAGAGTAAATTTCGAACTGTTTAACGAAATTGTGGAGACACATTGCCGAGACATATCCGGTGTCAATTAATACCTTTCAATTATTCTTACATTCCTAGATCGAACGCATCGCATTTAGATATTCGTGCACGAATGGCTGTGTTTAAGTTCATATTTTTATTTATCAATATTGTACATACGTAATATTATAAATATTTTTATTAATTAATATTGTATATAATTTGTGTTATTTGTTTTTTAGTCTTATGTTTAATCTGTCGCACATCTATCGAACACTTGGAATATTAAACTGTTAGGCACAGCTCTGTGGTCACACACAGCTCTGTAGTCACACACAGCTCTGTGATTCGCGAATATCTAGATTTGACACGTTCGACATGAGGAAATGCCTAAACCGGAACTGAAACGGATTAATGATACTTAATATACAATATTAATTACAACTTTCTCTCGGGCGCATGAAAAATCTAGTTCAGAGGATCGGAGGGGGAGGAAGAGGAAGAGGAGGAGGAGGAGGGCGAGGGCGAAGAGGAGGACGAGTCGGATACCCACGAGGAAGAGGAGGAGGAGCTCGACGAGATCGACATGGAAGTCAGTTATTCTCATCATCCGCAGAGGTCTAGTCCGACGGACACGGTGACCGCTCCCGTATCCATCCGGATGGTCAACGCATCGAATTTAACTCGTTATTCTTAATCTCTACGTATTCGATTCGAATGTACATACTTGTGATCACGAGTTTCGTATAATTTAACTATTTAGCGAAGTAATAATTATATATATATATATCGTTCTAATACTGATAATAGTTTATAAATTTATTGGAAGTTTTATAGATGATATCGATGGTATTAATGTGTGAATGATTAAAGGTCTATCTATTCTCTATGTGTGAATGATTAAAGGTCTATCCATTCTTTATGTGTGAATGATTAAAGGTCTATCCCTAACTTTCTCTTCCTCTTTCTCCGTTTTGACGACAGTAAAGTGTCGCTTTTTTCAAATCCGATTTTTTCATCGCGATTCCGTCGTTCGACGAGCAGTCAGTATTCCGAGATCGAAATTTCGTCGTTCTCTCGCTCGCGCTTACGCTTAGGTCAAGAACCCGACTGACGACGGCCGTAAGCCGACGTCGACTCTAAGCGGTGCAAATTCCATCGTGACGGATGGAAATTGCACGATCAGCGAATTCGACGGCGCGAGGCGTCGCAGGCGGTCCTCCTCGCGGACCGAAGAGCCTCCGCTCTTCCAGGCTGGAAACAGTCGACGGAGTATATAACTCGCGGACAGTAATGTCTTCATTCCTAGCGTCGAGAGCCTCTTCCGAAGAGAAGAGCGACTCGCGCTGCGTCCGGAGCGGTCGAACAAAAGCGTCCGTCCTTTTCCCTTGCCTTTACGGTCCCGTCTCGCTCTCTCTCTCTTCTTCTCTTTCCATGGAACGGGCTGGCGAAGTTGGTACTGCCTCGCTCGCTCTCTTTCTCTCCTTTTCGCGAAGGGCCGTGGAATCGCGTCGTGCTCGACCGGGACACTCTCAGTACGCTCCCCGTGTACCCACCTATACTAGGTGTAAGTACACGCGAGAATGTATTATATGCCTTTATACAAGGTGTCCCGAAATGTGCGCTTAAAGGCGTTGCAGCGATAGAGTGAAAGAAATGAGTGAAAATTGAGTAACGATATCGCGGCCGTGATTTTTCAATCCCGGTAGCAGTCTTCTTTTCAACACAGAGGTGTTTTAGCTACGTCTAATCGTAAGCCATGTTTAAACAGTCGTACGGTGATGTTAATTACCCTTCCTCGTTCACGCTAGAGAAAAAGCACAGTCATAGCGTCAATGACTCGATGAATTGTCCGAGTATATTTTACGTTTAGCCAAACTCTAGATGCTTACGGTACAACGATACTATTTGGAATAAGAAATCACGCGGACGCTTTCGTTACTTAATTTTTCACGGTCTTTCTCGTATTTTTAGGCTCCAGTGCGAACATTCATGTACATGTCTTACGTATATGCTTTTATATACAACTAGTTTTATATATGTGTGCATAGTTTTTTACATATATATGCATGTGTATACGTATACACAACGCGCCAGCTCTCCCGGCGTGTAACTGAAGTAAAGCCAGGTTGGTGCCCCCGCTAGGGTGAACGAACGGGTACGCTCAGGCAAAAGCGAACCCGTGTGCCTCCTCCTCCACCGCCATCACCACCTCCTCCTCCTCTAGCAACAACGTTCTCCTCCTCCTTCTCCTCCCCGGAGATCGGACGAAGATCGTCACTGTGGATTCTTGCGAGGCGAAAAATGCAAAAATCGGCTGCTCGCCGAATAGGAATTTCGTCGTGGAGTCGTGATCCGCGGCGCAATCAAACGCGCATCATTCGTTAGCATATTAAATCGTTTGAGCTGTGCGATATCGATCTACTACGTTCGGCGTGCTCGTGCCAACGCGCGATAAAGTCTCGCGCCGGTAATTCAGATAATTCAGCGTGATCGCATCGCTTCGATACGCATTTCTATGTATCCTAAACATAGTGCAATCAAAGTTGATTGCTTTGCTTAATAGACTTGTTTATTATTACTTATTCTTGTGTTCGCATTGTCTTAGATAATGAAGAAAATCGTCGATATAGTGAGAAATGATTAATGCCGATCAAATTAAATAACTTATTAGAAAGAGCGCACTGATCGATTGGATGTATACCTATCTTCAACATTTGCACACTAATAACCTACTCTATCCTAAAATACCGTGCCCTAAATTCTTATAAATATGTCAAAATCTTTTTGCTATCTAATACTGTTCTATTCTGTTTCTAGCAATCTTGCAATTGATTTTTAGTGCGGTTTAAATAATTTCGTGGATTTAATTATATTATAGTACGCGATTTCGATTCCTATTGTATATCTCTGATAATAATAGTGCTTAATTATTAGCGCTTGTAAATTCTTTGGAATTCGAAAACAACCAGAAAAGTTGTAAAAATATTTTCCAAATGTGATGGAAGACTATTGTAATCTCGTTCTCATCGATCGGAAATATTTTTTTCTTGGTCAGAATTTACGGTCTCTTGAAAATTAAAATAGCTCTTGATCATTTCGAGAGCTATTTGAATGTTCGTGATAAGATAACGAAATAATTATTTCAAATATTTATTTTTCAATATTTATTTATAATATCATAATAAATAGAGATTTTATTAAAATATGGAAATTCACGAATTTGCAAGTTGAGTAAAAGTTGATAGCAAGACAGATTTTTTTCTGTTTCGTTTTAGTTTATCTGATTGAAATCTGAATTTGTAGTATAGAAATAGTATTCGCAAAAATCTATTGATATTTAGTAAAACAACTATATTATGTAGCTAAATATAAATATGTTTTTGAAATAGATTTACATTTGATCTCTTTTGGAAGTACAGCGTACTTTTGTAACAGCAAAAAGCAACAATGTTTTAAGTTGCTTTGGTAAATAATATTTAATTTATTTTATCATTCGTGATTTTTTAGAATTTAATTGCTGAGAATCTATCATCGCTTCTGGTATCAAAGGAATACTTCAACAATATTTACGCATATTGAAATATCTCTCGCTGTTTAAATTTATGTTCTCGACGAGAAGATAGAGAACCACAAATTCTTTCTCGCTACGCTCAGGATTAGAATTCTGTAATTTGCCTCGGACGATATTACGTTTCCAAAGACAGTTACGCACGCACAAAGTGTCTAAGCGTTCAGAATACGCGCATAAATCCCGAGATTTATGAATCACGAGTTTCGCGGATGGTAATACCGTCTGGATTTATGAATTAATACCGGTCATATTAGACACATAAATCTTGGCGTTTAGGCAGGCGGAATCGTCTGCGTAGAATTATCCGATTGCCTCACGATTCCTGGGCAATTCGTCGGTAGATTATGGCGTGCTGTTTTTCGAGCAGACTTTTTAAGCTCCTTTTTCTTTTTCTAATCTCTCAATGCCTTCGCAACCTTTGTTTAATGTAAGATTTTGTTTTCGGATTGATGTACAAAGAAGTATACAAGTATATTTATCGATCAGAAAATTAATAGACGAAACAGAACTTGCGTGTAAGTCGTTAATCGATCGATATGGTTAACTGATTTGTCTAAATCTCTAAATTACAAATACGAAAATATTTCGGAATAAAATATTTTATGAGCAGGGAGGCTCTTTGAAGGCTCTTTACGAAGATAATGATCAAGCACACTCAGGAATGGTTCTACAAATTTTGCGCTGATTTAATAACAGTTGGTAATAATTAATGAGAGTCATTAGTCTATACGCGTATTTGTTTATCAGCTGAGGTCGATTGATTATCTCGCCTCCCGGCGAAACACGCGCGTCTGAAACTTAGGGACGCTATTTGAAGTGCACGTGGGAAGAGAGGGTTTCTCGATGGTTGCTACGTGATTCACTGCGCTAATGTCAACTTGACCTACTGGCCTACATGCAGGTCGATCCGAGTTCTTTATCCAAGGTCTTCGGGCGATACCCTTCTTTGCATTCGCTGCTCTCGAGTTTCTCTGACAGGAAAGCGAAGCGGCGCATGGGGAAAAAGAGATCGCTGACAATTAATATAACTTGAAAAATAAAGTCGCGTTATTTTTTTATTTTAATTGTCACCGCATCGCTGAAGATGGCAGAGCCGAAACGTCCGATGTATAATTATGTATCTTATTAATAATTAAGTTGAGATAATATATTAACGCACTGTTACCCACGTTATACTCTCAATCCTTTTTATTTATTAATTTCATTATCGAGAGTCTTTAGTTATTTATCCATTTATAAAAAAATCAAGTACTGATCTCTGCTGTGGTTTCTTAATATACCAAGTCTTAATATTATCTTATTAAAAGTTGTTTTGTAAACCTTTTATAAAAGCGTTTTTTAATTCTGTCGTAATTACATACGTAGTTTTGAACATTTTTTCTTGCTGCAATACTTCTTATTGCTTTAAGTTTAACATTGCAAATACAGACACTTGCATTTTTTACAAGGCGCATTACGATACTTATTGCGTTGTGGGCATAATAAATATCCTGTACAAATTTGGTCTTTCGAACGTTCTTTGTGCAAGAGGAAAAAAACTCGTAAAACCAGACGGCCATTTACACGATGAAGTTCGATCGTTGATTTATCGCGCCACGTGAAAATCAATCGCCACGCTGGACCGATTTCTCTCTTGTAGAACGGCGGTTACACCGGCCTCGGGGGGGGGGGGGGGCAAACCTCTCGACCGCTAATGCCGAGTTAAGCGCCCTAACCTGCCTCAAAAGATGCTGCGCGACGTATAAGAGATAATAAATCCTGGTCGGAATTCTCGCGACGGCGACGTTGGCAGCGACGAGGATGCTGTTCGCCGAAGGCGCGAGAGAGCAAGGGAACGAGGGGCCGAGGGGCTGAGGATAAACTGCGTTTATTAAGTTTTGAGTGATATCTTACAAAAGAAGCATATATACAGATGATGTTGCGTGGTAGACGCGCACACGATAAACGTTCTCCATTGAAAACTGAAAATAGTAGAAATATCAGTTTAAAAAAGACGCCGGGAAAATTATGATTTGGAAAACATTGCAATCATTTCGCATAACGCGATATGTGAGATAACTTCCTCCGCGATGCCATCGGCGAGAAGACGTCGCGGAAGATGGAAGAAAGTTGGAAGGGCGGGGAAGAAGAAACGGAACGACGGAGAGAAGGGCGGATGACCCAGGATGAGAGAAGAGGAGGAGGAGTCCCGAGAGAGAAAGAGAGAGGGAAGGGAAGGAGAAGGCGTGTGCAACGACGGTGGAGAAAAGAATGGGGAGAATCGATCTCTTGAGAAATGAAGGAGGATGCTGCGCACAAGCGGGGGAGCAGGAGAGAGAAAGATGATGAATGCGAGGACAACATCGATT